CAAGGGGCGGCGGAGACTGCAGGAACTGTGGGATAGCTGTGGGATAGCTACCCATAGTGCAATGCTCCGGAAGTCGACACTAGCCTCGTACTGTGGACGCGGTCCGCCGACTAGAGCACCTAGAGCATTTTATGTGGGGACACACACAATCGGCTGTATACAACCGGTTTCAATAAAACCGGCTTCTATAAATTCGAACTAATTTCGTAGTGTAGACATATCCTAAGAAAGAGAAAAGTAAAGGAGGAGATATGAGTGGGCATGAGGGAGATCAAAAGATGGGATGGGGTGTAGTTACTGGGCAGGGTTAGAGATAGAGAAAAGGTGAGAAACTTGTGTGCTAAGAGAAGCAGGAGACAATTGTAGGAGGGAAAGGAAAGGCAAGCTGAGGGGGAAGGTCATTTAATAGTTTGTTTTTCTCTTGCAGGAAATCAGTGAGATCCTGTATGGAGGGAGAAGTGACGGCAGGAAGAGGAGAGGGAGTGCATAAAGGGTTCAGAAAAGATGGCTGGGATTGAGGACATGGGATTCACTCAAGTTAGAAACAGTGTTGCTCAGTTCAGAAGATTGCTTAACTGAAATAAGAGTGAATGAATTTGTAGTGGAGGAAGCCAGCCTGGTCACAGCATTTCCATCAGAGAAGCAACATGGAGCAAGAGCAGGAGCAGAAGAGAGGCCCAAAAAAGACAAGGGTGGAGGATAGTGAAGCATGGAGAGAATCAACAACCATATCAATAGAAGAAAGGACAGAGGATGGGGAGGATAGGGCTGAGAGCAGATTAGAAGTCTACAATGCTGAGGGACTGGAAGTCATGGACAGGCTGAGTGACAGGTCGGGGGGGGAGAGAGTTGATGGGAGAGGGTGAAAGATCCAACGATGGTTGAAGATGGAGCATTCAGCAACAGAGAAATTGGAGAGAGTGCTGTGTTTGGTGAAGACCAAATAAATTGAATGGCCCTTTTGGTGAGTGGAAGAGTTGAATCAGGGCTTCAGGTCAAATGGTCAAATGAAGAAGTGAGGACAAGGAAATATGCATCTAAGGGGTCAGATGGGCCATCAGCATGGAAGCTGAAGGATTAATGTAGGGGACTGAGGGGAGGAAGAGAGCCAGGAGTCTAAATCAAAGAGGAAGACTGATGAGGGATGAGTTGGGTGGACAATACATAACAGGAACATGGAGGAAGAGAGGAGAGTCGGAGGCAGTACTGTTCAAAAGAGGAAAAAGTCTGGTCCAGAGAAGAGAATGTAAGAGAAGGTGATGCCTCCATAAAAGAGGGTAGTTGCATAGGCGAGGTCAGATAGAGGGATCCAGGTCTCTCATAGCCAAGAGCTGGAAAGAGAGAGATACGAAGCCGTCATGAACAGCTTTGGGTGGTTTTTTGTTTGTTTGTTTAAACAGACATAGAATGGGCATTCCAGACACAACAAGAGAAGGGAAGGAAGGAATGAGGAGTGAGCTTAGGAATGGCACAAGAGGGGTGGAAATGGGTCACCCATCACTATCGCTCCCTGAATTTCACTTTCAATCAAGAGTTTTTAATCAACTTTCAGAATTTCCAAAGGCAGTAATGTCTGAATTATAAATTAATTCCATAAAAACCCAGTCAGGTCAGAAATTGCCCAGGTAAAATTGCCTGGGCAAATTCAGTACTAACATTAAACCAGATGCAGTGACTAAGGCAAGAATATGCAGTGAATGGATACAGAAAAAATATTTGTAATGTTAATTTAAGAGACTACTATAATACTGAAATGAGTAGACCTCTTACTTCTGCAGCACCTATTGCTATTTTACTCACTTTCCTCTCTTTCTCCACTGCCCCCACCACATAATCTGCCATCACCATTCACACCCCCTACTAAGGTCCACAAGATAAATCCTAACAATATGTGCAATTCTCACAGACCTAATAAGATCCATAGGAAGTCAGCATCTTAGGAGCTCTACATAAGGGGAATACTGGGTTTATCTGGAGACTGGGAACAGGAAACACAGCAATGTGAGGTGGCATCTTCCAGCCCATCCCCTGGTTCACATCCCACCATGAAATACATAAATAATGTTGCCAACTCTTGTGATTTTAATGAGAGTCTTGATATTTGTTCTTTTTATCAGAGTCCCAGCTCTTGGAGTTTTATGATTACATGAGAATATCAGATTTATTTATTTAAGTTTCTAGCCCACGTCTTTGTAAAGAAGTTTGAAAATGTGAAAAATGCACCTTTTCAGGTTAAAAAACAGAAGACAAATACTTCCCCCCCCTTTTTTTTAGTCTCATGATTTTTAAACCAATCATAATTTTGGAGGAGAACCTGACATGCTTTTTGATCACTTTGGGTTGGCAATAATGGGGAAATCTCTTAAACTTAATCTTCTACTCTACGTTCTCAAGATAGATGGAGCAAACCAACTCATTTGAGAACTTTAATTTTGGTGGAAAGTTCTTATTCTATTTAGAAGCCCCTCAAGTGATCAGTTTACATTTTCAGGACTATCCCTACAAATTAAATGGAGAGAGGCTTGCTTCCCTCCCCCCTTTTCTTTTTTTAAGGGTAGCTTAAGATCACTGTAAGAGATTACCCTATTGTCATTAATAAAAATGTTGATACTTTCTTTAAATTTGATTGTTCTCAAATAAAAAAGTAGTCCTTGCACTAGAGTTCATCTAAGGAGGACAATATTTTTTTATTGCTACAGAGTGTTGTCAAAAACATCAAGGAATTTAAAAAAAAAAAAAATCTGATAAACACCTCAATTCCTAGAGGTCCTAATCAAGGAACCCATTATCATATGCACATAGAATCTTTCTGTAAACTATCTTAGCTTCAGGCCCAACATATCAATGTTGAGGCCAACATAACTTTGTGTGTTGGGGAAGTACAACTTAGGCTTAAAATGAAGACTTAATTGCAACTTGAACTATGGAGCAGCTACTATTTGATCCTAATATATATACATGGATATTTTTATTTGGTTCTTTGCCAAAAATGCAGTTGTCTTATATGCAGCCTGTCTCCAATTCCCTGAAAAAAACCTAATTAAAAATTATGAAAAAATGTAAGTATAACCACCATCATCCAGCATAATATTAAAAATAAGATAACTTTAAGAAATGTATACTTCTAGCAATGAAGCTTCAAGTTTACATATATTTAAGCGCATCATTAAGAGTTACAAAACTCTACAAATATAGTATATATCAGCAAATAATACAGATGTTCAAACCTTTTAACAGCATCCTTTTTTTGGCTATCTATTCCATCCCACCACTTTGAAAAGTAAGAGATTTCAGACCACATGAACTTCCTCTTGTTGTCTTCTTGCAGTTTTACCACCATGTTGTTTAGGATATGTTGTGTCTGATCTCTGAAGTAGTCATCAAAAGTCTTCAACCAACCTAAGTTAAAAATAAGAATACATGGCATAAAATCTAAGTTTAAATGGTCCTATCTAAAGATTTCATCCCATCAGAAAAAGGGTTAGTTTTAAACATTATTGTGTAGCACACATTTAAATGCTCAAACCTATCATACTGTGGGCTATTTTGCAGTGCTAGACTTTAATAAGCATTAGGAATCCTCCTAAGCTGTTTTAAAGTCTGTGTCAATTTTTTGGTTTTGGTTTTACAATTTTTATACCTTGTTTTTTCTTTAAAAAACATGCTCAACTTAAAAACCTAACATTCCAGCCTGTAGTACCATATTTACATAAAGATAAATTGTCAAACGGCTCAGTTACAAAAGAGTCTTGTAGTTTTAGCATAATCCATGATGAAGTTATTGCTAGGGTAAGGAATTTGGTTATAGTGGCAGGGGAACACGAAAAAAAATAAGAAGGAAACACAAAAAGGAAAGGTTTAAACAGAGAAGGCCTGAAGCTTAATATTTGAAGCAGAAATGACCACTTAAAAAAATGTAAGCACCACAAAGAAAGAATTTAAACTACTGACCCCTGTAGCCTCCTCTGCCTAGAAACCTTCAGCTACTGCCTCTGTTTGGTGGGACACCATCACCAAGGAAACACACCAAAATGCACTGCAGGCATTGATTCTGGGAAAGGAAATAAGTTGCTTGGGCCCTAGGCAGTGCGATTCTTCCCACCAGCTCAGTGTTCAAGCCCTCCCTGACCACTCCCCCATCAAGGCTTAAAGGACAGGGAAGAAGTTTCCAATAGCTCACCCATCAGGTTTGCAGAGAGGGGATCTGAAAAAACCCAGCAAGCCACACTCCCTCCCTCTCTCCTTCCCTCCCCCTCCACCTACACACACACACACACACACCTAACGCTTAAGAAGGAGAAGTACACTCAAATCCTCCTCTTCTCTAAAAGATGTGAGGTGGGGCTGGATTAAAGATGCCCCAGCTTCACCCTACATCCATGGCTGGAGAGGAAGGTGAAGAGCCCTGTGTTTTCCCCTAGAAAAAGGGTGAAGCAGAACATAGCCAAGTACCAGCGACTTATACTATATGGCTTTTAAGAGAAGCTAAACACAGATACTGAGGGAAAGGATTTATTGCTAAAGGTAACTGGCGATGGAAGATGTGCTTTGTGGATGCATATCAATTCTACCAGCATAAAACACGAAGTGGAGAGTGAGGAAAAAGGATGCTCTGCAGGAGGAGCTTAACCACCTGCTTAGGCCTCAAGTAGGGCTGTGAACAGTCAGGATGTGCATTATTTAAATAGAAAATTGCCTGTCCCATACTAAACAAGTACGGGACACCTTTTATCCCATATTTCAATATAATAAAAACTGGTTTGCATAATGATATTTTTAATATTACCTTACCTGCCAGTGATACAAAGTTTGCAAAATTAGACAATTTAGTAATGCAAAATCAGTCCCATGATTTACTGAACCGATGTACCTACAGTGCAGAGGCGTGGCCCCCTGGGGGGGTGAAGGCAATAAGGTTATTGGGGGGCACAAAGACCTGATGGAGCGGCACTGAGAGGCTGGTCAGGAGGGTGTTCTGTCCAGCCGGAAAAGCAGACAGGGCTCTGTGCAGATGGCTTTAGCTGCCAGAACCAGGCTCCCTGCCCGCCTCGCTCCTCCACTGCTGCAGCTGCCACCAACCAGCAATTATGTTCCCCTCCTGGGGGGCGTTGGCAGAGAGACTGTGAGCGGGAAATGGAAAGTTATACTCCCGCACGTACTCACCCCCCCCCCCCCCCCCCCCCCCCCACA